ATTATTATTTATACGAGTATCGGATATTAAAATATCATATTTTAAGAATCGCAAACGATATAATAAAGTGCCTACTCGTCTCCACATATTAATAATATTTTATTAACGGAAATTGCGTTGTGAAATGACGTTTTATCAGCGCAAAGACGCAGGGCGGACAAACTGCGCGGCAATTACATCTGTCAACTCGCTGTTATCGACTCGATCCTGGATAGACCGCCGAGAGTAGAAACAACAGCTCGCCGAAGAAAGAGCACTCGAAATGATCGCGTCTTAAAATCGCCAGCAGACCTCGGCCCGGCAGTTTCCCCTCTATTTTATACTTTTACGACGGCGGGCGCGACTATTCCAATAATCGTAAAAATGAGGCAACGTCTCGGAATAGCGCCGCGGGCCAAGATACGCGTCATTAGGCGTGCGGCATTCGCAAAGTTAGTGGGAAGAGTCGCGGGTGTAAGCCCGTACCCAGCGTAACGGCAGGTCGTAACGATAACCGTATCAATGCTAAACTCGAGTTCCCCGTGCGCGAGATGAAAACGTGAAAAGGCAAATCCGAAAAGAGCAACATCTGGATCGTCGCTGCGTTATTGCACATTAATTATGTGTACAAATTGTTCAATTCGGCAGAAAAATCCAAGGAACTTTCTCTCCTTCTGATATCAATATCAACACGGAATTCTTTCTTAATGTATAGAAAGTTGTCTTTCAATTGAAAACGGATAGACGCGATCTTTCCTGCACTTTTACTTATTCAATATTTATTATGCTATACCTAATTACAAATGTAATTAAGTAAAAAACTTCAAGGATTACGTGACCATGTCTGGCAAATTTTTATGTTTAAACTCACAACGTCTCGACCATGTGGTCCTTTTCAAGTGATTTGGTAATTAAGCAAGATAGCAAGTGTAAAGGGAGCGATATATCGACATTGCTTTTTATTTACAACGTCCTCTTAATTATGACGATAAGAGCAACGTCGACACCTAGCGAGTCTGACAAGAACACGATCGAAGGTAACGATGCCGGAAGTATCGAGCGTCGCGAGATAGCTATCGCGATATTATCGAGGCCTCATGAGTAATCCGTAATTATGTGCGATCAGGGAAACGCAGCAAAACGAGCACGCACGTACGCGGAATATCGGGGATGCTTAATTGAAGCCGTGCCCGGTGTACAGAGCGAGCCAACGGATGTTTTACTCCGGGCGGGATACGGCGGACCGGCTTTACTCCGGCGGATTCTTAAATCTTTCGCGAATTACGTGACGCGAATCGTCGCGGAGGAAGGCGCGACGATGATGACGACGACGTGTGACGACGACGCCGTACGCCTGATTTCACATCCGAGTCGCGCCGAGTCGGCCTCTTCTCTTCGCATCAATCAACCTCTTTGCCCGGCTCGGACACGTAAAGTGGAGGAATTGCGCTTCCGGGATACTCTTTGATGTCCGTCGCCCGATCGGCTCGATTGGGCGAGCGTCCGTGAGCGTCCGTGAGCGTCTACAGAGGATTCGACGAGAGGGGGGGGGGGGGCGAAAATCGAGAGGCCGAGGTATTGCTATTGGTATTGGCAATGCGGCGCGTCACCCCAAGGGACGTCGCGAGAACGACTCTCGACGGTGATCGTGACGTTTTAATTTCAGCGTTGAGGAACGAGGTGTCGGGGCTCGCGACGAGGAAGAGGCGAACGCTAATGAATGTAATCACGCGCTCGGCCGTCGAGAAACGGCGCGTAGCGACGTCGCGAAAAATGTTGACGCCTGTAATCGAGCGCGAGTCGCGACCCGCGGCGTCCGCGCCTTCACCCTCGCGGGAGAGACACGATACGTTTTAATCCTCACCGACATCACGGCTGTGACTTAATATGCGTACGTTTTGAGTAGCCGCGCATAAGTCGGCGTGCGCGCGAATTATCATGCCGCGAGCGCTAAAACGTCTGGTACGGACTCGGGATAGGTAATTACGCGGTCATTCGGTAGATAAACCGGTTAAATCATCCATGTCAAACTATCCTCGGACTGGTTATCTCCGTGCCTCGCCCTCCCCCTGTCCGCTTTTTGTTCCCCGTTCCGCTTCGCCATTATCAATCCGGTCCTCCTCTCGGTTCGACCAGAACGCGGTCGCGCTGCAATTTAAATTCTCTCATTGAGGATCGTTAAGGTCTCTCGCTATCTCTCACCCCTCCTCATTTCTTCGGCCTAAGACGAGATCGAACGACATAATAATCGTTTAAGGTCTATCAATAAAATCAAAGCTCGTTATGGAGCTTAACGACGCGGACGTAAATAAGCCGTTGACCGCCTCGTTTTGCGACTGCTCTGCGATTATCGTCAATTTTTTCCAATCTACTCTCGCCGTATCGGGTTTGATAGTATCGCGTAATACCTGTTACGTTCAAACCAAGTAATCCATAAACACGCGAAGAAACCTAAAAAGGCTACATGACGACGCGTATGGGCACTTCTGCGTGGAAGCAACTATTTGTTGGATTTACAGATAGAGTATTCCCCTAATTACAGCTCAACATGGCCGTCTCATTAAGTTGCGTTCACGTAACGTCTTGAAGCAAATTGATTTGTACAAAATAGGACCAGGTATGGTTTCTATCGGGCAAGAATTTAAAACACGATTCTCGGACAAGTAGAATCGTATCCACGAAATGTGCTCTCGTTAAGTTTTATCTTATTGTTTTCAATTTTTTCAACGTAATTGTCAGACTACAGTTCGACTGTGTTTCTGGACTAATTTTGGAGAATGCAAATTAGCACACGACATAATAGATGTAGTGACGGCAATTGCAATCACAGGGACCGGAAAGGGTCAAGTCACGCGATTTCACGGACGCGATCTATTTTTACAAAGCTTAATGGATTAATGGGGCATTCTGTCAATTGGATAATCGAGCGTACGTAGGTAGGGTTTGCGAATTGACATCATTCCGAAGCAAATCGCTTGACGAAGTAATCGCCGTAACGGACAACCTGAATTATTAAAAAGTTCCTACCGATTCCAGCGCTGCTGAAAACTTTGGAAAATGATGCCGTCCCATTTCCCGGGCAGCCCCGTCACTCGACGAAATGCTGCAACAGCTGGGGCTCGTTAAATGTATTTTGAGCAGGCATGTAATAACAACGTGTTATTGTTCCACGCCGGTGTGAAAACGTCCGGTGCACGCGCCAAACTAAAATTACTGCGTAACCTTGACAAAAGATTTCAACGTGCCCGATTTCACGCGGCAAATATAATATGGCAAATCTAATTAAATATTGGACTCGGTTAAATGCATTTATCTATTTCGTCTACGTCGATTTATAGCAATCAGGGTAAAACAACGGCTATTATGTTACTGTTAATCTAAATATACTGAGAGAAACAGAGAAATATTGGAAAGACGAAATATTGAAACGCGAAATTAATGTTTGCATCATCATATTCTGCTTAACAATCGTAATTTCAAAATGATCAATGACATTTCTGCATTCGGCAATTTAACAATAATTAAATTAACAATATAAAGTGTTTTAAAATCACGCGAATGTCGAACTTTTTCTTTAACAGTAAAAAACTTGTAATAAGCCACCATCAAATACGAATTTTCAATGTTTCTCATTATTTTAATAATTTACAAGGAAATAAGATTAATTTTCTGTTGCGTTGCAAAATAAACAAAATTAATTTAAATCTTTCTGCCAAGGAGAAAAATATAGAGTTATTTTCTATAGAAAATATTTCAAAACCACCATATAATATTTTAATAGCGATATAATGATATTTCAATATATCCTGAAAATTAATTAAAATCGAAAATCCTAAACGAAAGTGTCGAGATTGTAATAGCTTTTATATTATAAGCAATCAAAGTTGGCCGATGGTATCGCGTAGAGCCCATACGCTCAGGCTCGTAACTGTATTACACGCATATTGATTGTTATCGTATATAGCATTTAATATAAACTATATACAAGTTCTTTTTTGTTCTGCGACAAAATATTTACTGATTAAAATGTCATTTTACTCTGTTTCAGTAACTCGATGTTACCCGAAACAAAATTACCAATAAAAGAGAATGGACGGACTACGAAGGACCGGCACAAAATGGAAACGTTTCAAATATGAATAAAATCAATAATTACTAGCATTTTCTACTAAATAAATTACCTCGACTAACTACTACGCCTATGCGATTGTAAGATATTTCCTTTTTTAATTCATAACATATGTAACTTGTGTAACTTGTAACATATGTATATAAAAAAACGCCATAAAAAGTATAATGAAGGAATTATTGCTTTCTCTCGCAATTTATACAACATTTTATCCTGGAAAGATTACATATACAGAGGCCAAACGCAGATCTCAAATTCTATTTGAAATATATATCAGAAAAAGAAGTGAGAAAATAAAACACGTAAATAACAATAGTTAACAATATTTTCTACGAAGTTTTGTAGATTTTAATCAATGTCTATATATTTTTTTACATAAATTCATACAACATACAATATCTATTCTGTTCTCTCCGGTATTAACCATGAGATATGAATGCCATGAAGGGATATTCTAAACTGTCAGTATTTTTCATATTCTACAAAGTCAGTATTTTGTAATTGTTACAACTTTAATTTTTTTGTAATCTTATTTATCGCTATACTTTTACACAAAAATACTATGTTTACTGTGTAAACATCAAATTAAAATTTCCGAAACAACGTTATTAATATAGTAAATAATTTCTTCAAGATACGTTTCACGGCGTTTTTTTAATCTTGTTTGTCTGTAATCGTAATATCATTACCATGGCAAATTCTAGGATTAGATATTACAATTGATCCATTATAATGCCTCATCTCTTTTCGTGCAGGTAATAGATTTGCGAGAGCTAAATTTCTCTCGATAATATTTTTTTGATTCGGTTATTTCATTACATATACATCTTGCATGTGCTATTTTCACAGATCCATTGCCGCAAATTAAAAACAAAAAATAATTGCGACTCACCGATACGATGCGCAGCATCGGAGTTGTAGCAACAACTGCGTTGGTCTGTAACATACAAATACATTCAAATTATTACAACGCGCAAAATAATTAAAATTGCAAATTTAATCATAACACACATTGAATTTTTTATCCTTTTTTCAAGTAAACGTATTTGACAATTATGTGGTGCCGGACAAAAATAATTTTTCGAGAGTAAACGAAAAATAAATAAACAATAAACATATTTTGTAGCTGCTTCGCTGTCGCCCGATCCCCTCCATGCCTCCCAGATTCCTTCGTTGCGATTGCACAATACTTACTCGCGAAAACGCAGTTAATTACGATTGCGCGACACTTTGTACGGTATTTTCGACGTTAGTCAAACGCCCGCCGTGTATATTGCGACGAAAGAACAACACGAAGGAACAATTGCACGAAACTGATTTGTGATGTCTCGTAAACCAGTGCAATGGACGAGGCTCGAATGTCGGAAGTGGTTAACAAATCGCCAATGCGCGCCAAATTTGCGCTACGCAGTTAACAAATAATGCATTGTAATTAAATGCATTGTGAATCGTCATTCAATTCGGAATCAATTCATTCCACATTCGCGGCGTTCAGTTTATTCAACGAAAAATTCAACGTGCGACATTCGAACTCATTAGAGAAACAATTATGGTACGTGTAAACATAATTGCTACTACTTCGATTGTTATTGCCTCGAGTTTAGCTTGAAATGAATGAGAGATCTCCGTTGTGAGAAACAGTCGCTGCCGCGACTGCATTTACGAAACGTTAATCGCGGGAGTTAAGAGGGTGCATAAGCCGATAGACGCTAATAGAAAGCGATCACGTTTGCTCTCAATTTTGTCTCAATCGTGTTTGGCTAATAACGGAGCAGTTGTTCTCAACACTGCCCGCTCGCTCGAGGCTCACTGTGCGAGTGATAGCACAACGAGCTTGTATAAACAATACGTCGCGGCGTGCGCAGCTCTATTTACGAAAAGCGAGCGCCGAAGGTGCTCAGTATCGTATGCCGATGTTCTCAAAAAACTTGTCGACTAATTAAAATATTATTTACAAATGTATGCCGTATTATATTCCTTGCAAAATTATCAATAAATAACGATTTTCTATTTCTTCGGCCACGTTTTCCGAATCAAAGACACATTTCGTCTTTCAATTTCAGATCATTCAACGCGAGAACGGTCACCTGGGGTGATTTTTACAGCCCGGCGTCAAAGAAATGAATCTCGCGCGTCACAGTAATTTTCTTTATCGTTCAGAAATCCATACCTGCCTTTCATTCGAAGGTAGCCGAGACCCAACGTTCATAATTTAGAACCTGCGCATTAATAATACTAACCTACTGAAATTGGGTGGAATATAGGAACCCCAAATGATCGGTTTTGCAAAAGAAAATCAGACTCTCTTAAAGTCAGTCAGTGAATGAACACTGAAAACAGTGAATAGTCGCTGATTTGCAGTTATAAGTGTATTACTAAAAATTGCAGTGGTCTGCTTATAACTGTACATTAGTGACTATATTCACTGTGTGTGTGTGTGTATGTGTGTGTGATTGGTGATAAAAATCTTCTGGACCGTAAAAATCAATATACAAATAATAGATCAATAGCGTGAATACAGTTATGAATATAATCGTGCAAAATATTCGAGATAGCAATTAGCAATTTCTGATTGTCTACTTTAAGTTGCCGCGCGACTTGGGTCTTTTTGTAATAAAATGTTGAGTTTTAATTAATTGCCAGAACACGCTATTAAAATATTATCACAGTAAGCCTGAAACATCCGTGATTTCATGTACTTGCATTGCTCGAGCCTGATCTTGTGTCGCGATATCTTCGAATAACGCGTATCATACACAATGCTTTTCGCGAAAGAAATCTACATCCAATGCCTCGAGACGCGTCACTAACGTTCGATATATGTATGAAGTGAAATAAAGTATCTCAGACGTTATTCGAGAGCACCGGTCATTTCAATAACGAAGGGTGACTTCGGCAAATGTGGGCCTCCTTGAGCTGTCTCGAGAGGGACAACTAACTGGGATATCAGGAAAGACGATCTACCACGGAACAGATTTTGACTCACAACGACAGATGACCAATGCATCCCGTAAGATACCGGTTAAAATTTTCGCCTCCGCGATTATCCGATGTATCGGAAGAGATTAACATGATGGCAAGGCGAAGCGACTTGGCTCTACTAACCGGAATCGATGCGTCATCGACATGGGCTTTTTAACATATTCCGCTTAATTTCATCTCGAGATAGACGATGCACGATATCGAATTACAACGTGTTGCAAAATGCTGAAGCGTGACGAACGCCGTACGACGGATTTCCAGCACGAACGGCTGTTAATCATAAAACAACGTTATCGCACGCTACGTTTGTTTCAAAATATATTCGCTATTGACGCCGCCGCCGCCTGTCGTTTACGAACGTAAAAATAATACGCGTCCCTAATTCAGACATCCGAGCCTTATGCCTTAGGTTACCACGGATTATTAAAGCCGGCGCAGAAACAGTTCTCTCTCTGAACAAAGTGGCAGCTTGTTTTCGCTCAAGAAATATGTTACGTCTGATTTAGACGAAGCGGATTTCGGTCTTGAGAATCGGCCAAGAATCGAAATACAGAACAGGAAACGGTACGCGGAAGAGTCGGAATTTGAATACGAACTGCGAGAGATAGAGGATGTGATTCATGTGACGACGAGTACAAAGTAGAGGTATTCGAAACCCGAAATTGCCAAAAACTTTGCAGCAACAAATGAGCTGCCAACTTAGGCGCTGTCCCAAAATATACAGTAATTTCTGCGAAACGTTAGGATCTGAACTGCGATAAAGCGTATATATTTAATACCTCGGCCAATTCTCGAAATTGACGTTCTAATTGCGAAATGTAATTAATTATATAATTATTTGAATCAAATATATAGTCGTTATTATAACTAGCCGAATCCAACTGTATTGCGCGTTGAATTAAATGCTCTGTATTGAATTAAGTGCTCTGTATTTAATTGTTAAGAGATTACAGTGGCTGAACGCCCACCAGTTACACTAGGCACGTAAAACACCTCGGGCAAAAATAAATAAAAGCGCTCTTCGGCAACATCGTTAAATGAGTTTTACTTCCTCCCCGCAATTCCCCGCGTAGAAATCTACGAAGCCCTAAAATTCCATAGATACAAGCAGGACTACAAATCGCGTTAACCTTCTTGGCCCCGCCATCCGCTGCCCATCTTAAATTCAGGGCATGGAATGCCGCACTGGGGAAAAAGGCAGGCAACGTCCTTAAACTCGAGAGGAAAGGTAGAAACCTTGGTAGGGTTTCGCCAATCCTCTTGTCATGAAATATATTTCCTAAATAGAAATACCGCTATGTTTGCTAGAAAATGCCCTAAATTGAATAAGTACGAGGAACAAAAGTATTCAATGACAAGTCGCAACTTTGAAATCGTTAATTACAATTGCGTACGTGGGAGATTGAATTGGTAAAATTAAGAGCCTAAGCAGACAGGCTGTCTTGTACTCTTTAAGAGACAAGACAGCTGTTGTGCGTCACTTCAAGACAAAAGCTAGCCATTCTACCCAGATTCTAAATTACCAAATGGACCAAGCATGAACAATTATACGATCTTTTACTTTTTTCTTAGCATCGACACTGTATCTATAAGATCTATATTTGAAAATCCGTCATTTCTAAACTCTGCAATCTAGCTAAACGCATTCAAATTACTTGCAATGTGTATTGTCCTTTTTTTATCGACAAATATTGAGACGTTGAGACATCGGATACAAATACAAATACACCGATGCCAACAAAAAACTAAAAAATATATAATCAAAGATACGATAATTTCAAGTCTTTGATAAATGCCGTATAGCGAGCGTAACTTTATACTTTTTTGACATGCGGCCACGCATTCGCCCTCGAAACATCCGCGAGAAATAAATTACATAACAATTCACGTGGATATCAAATGTCGTTCGGTCCGGGCCGTGGGGGGGAGGAGGGGAAGAACCTGTCCCGTCCTGATTTACCCTTCCTCTTTTTCCCTTCCCTTTTTGGGCCCGTGTCTCTTTTCTTTCCTTTTATCACCGTCGCTGCCCCGCTTTCGTTCCGTAGACATAGTACCTGTGCCGATCGTAAAGCACCCCCGTCGTAGGTACGCCATTGTCGCTCTCTGAGTCGCTTGGGAACCGGAACGTGCGGACTCAGGTATGCGTTCGGGTATTCTTACCTGTTGAACCTTCGTCGTTGAACTCCCGACGTCGCTTTGTCCGCGTTGCGTACTCGTAGTGATTCAACGACGCGATCGCGCGACGAGTTTCGCCGGGCATAATCGCGCCGGAGGCCCGCTCGCATTCATGAATTTAAGCGGAACGTGAATTCCGATTTAAACGGCGTCTCTCGGGGGAGAAAGAGAATCTAAGGACGAATCAAGGAGGCAAGCCTTCTTGAATCTTAATTCGGACTCCGAGTTTAACGGTATGCGCCACGACAGAGCAATCGGTAACGAGATCGGGAGATTGCGCGATCGTGTGCGAAGGGATTAATCAGAGCACTGTCTGCCCGGACTGAAATACACGAAATCACGCCATCGATCCTACAGGGACTGACCTAAATCGCGCACTAACGAGTCCGCAAGGATTCATACGCTTGTGGTCTTGATAAGAAAAATATCACGAGATATTTCACGATACGCTCCAACCTCTCTTAAATTAAGTTAAGCCATATCTCTCTTTCGTATAACGGATAAATTAATCCACCTAAATGTCAACTATATGTAAATTTGAATAAATACTGATTTATTTTAAATTTAACTAAATAATTCAGCACTCGGTGAAAGCAAATAACCAGTTGAGAATAAATAATGGGACATCTGTCAATTTATTTAATTGGATCGATATTGTTACGCTTTATCTCTCTCTCCGGCTGTTAAAATCAAAAATAAAAGTGATTCCATACAGCTTTGTTGTCATTCAGTAACAAAATTGAAAAGAAGATTATATCTATATAAAGTTATTTATTCAAG